ATGGGACGGGACAGGCTGGATGCGAGGAGACCGGCCTACTTGGGGGGAGATGGGATGGGAGAGGCTGGATGTGAGCAGTGGTGATTGCCAGTGATTGGACTGATTAAGCCCTTCTGTGTGCCCAGCACTGCACTGGTGCTGGGCATGCAAAGACCAAAGGGAGATAGGCCTTGCCCTCAGGCACCTTACGTGGGGATACAACATATGACTGGAGTTAGAAACACAAAGCTGTGGCAAGCCCTCTCAAGCAGAGAGCACCAATAATGAGGGCCTGGAGAAAGCCCTCAGGTTGCAGGTGGCACTAGAGCTCTCTGTGCTTGGAAAGAAGCTAGGAAGGGGTGAAAAGGGAGGGAATCTGGGGCCTAAGAGCTCATCTACACAAAGGCAGCAGAGGCAGGAGATGGCACTTTCAGTACAGTGAATAGCTTCTAGGCCAGCTTGCCTGGTATGGAAAGTGCAGGAAGGGATAGAATGGGGAATCAAGCTCACAAAAAGCAGGCTCTGGGAGCTCACCCTTGGCCTAACCCTAACCCCTCTGCCTAAGAAAATCATCTGCAGTGGAGAAATGAAGGCACAGAAATGGTTCATGGGGACGTGGACCTGAGTTGATAAGGAGCTAACAATAAGGGTCTAGGCCCCCAAGGAGCTCAAGTCTTCAGGCCAGGGTCAAGAACACCCCATCCTGAAGGGACATGCCATGTTGGGAGAGGGGAGGTGCTGTGGATGGAGGTGGGAGCTGAGGATGACCCAGCGTTTAGACCACAGACTGATCTTGTATTCCCATGAGGCAGGACATCACAGAGCTGTCTGGTGGGTGTCCAGAGCATGTACTGCCAGGAAATGGGACAGGCCTCAGAATCAACGAGCTGGCTGGCCAGCTGGGCCTTGGCGCAAATCATGCATCATGTGACTCTCCATTCTGGCAGCCTGATCTTGCTCTGACCTTTACACACAGAGCCCCTATTCACAGTGTGAGAAGGGGGGTGGTGCCAGGGTTCTGGAGTTCTATGGGGGAAGGGCCAGCCTAGGCCCCCTGCAAAACAGATTTCCTAGTATCAGGGCAGTCAGGCAATCACTGGGTAGGGCTCCTGGACAGCCTGGCTTCAGCCCTGGTCACTCCCTGTTGCCCTGGACTGAATACCTCTATGGCTTTCATGGCTTAGCTATCTTTCACTCTCATCCTTTCTGGTCTTAAAAACCCCAGTGGTCCTCCAGCCTTTGCTGAAAGACCTTCAGAGGCAGCTCTAGAAGGAAGGAAGAGAGGGAGGAAACATTGAAGAGCTAACTATATTCAGGGCACTGTGCTAAGAGCTTCACAATCTCATCTCCTGAGCCTGCAGGCTAAGCAGAGCCAGGATCATCCTGCCTAGGTGGTCCTTCATCTTTACTGGTTCCTCCCTGAGTCTTCTCCCAGTGTAGCACCCCCAGTTTCTTCTTCTGATCCTTCCTTCTCTCCTGCTCCCTGCTGGCTTTTGCCACCTTGGCAGACACAGATGCTGGCTCCCCTCCCTGAGCACCTGGGCAGGAGACTGACATTGACCTAGTCTGGATATGGGGGATGAAAGAGAGTGAGGAGTTCAGGATGACTCCTAGGTTGGGAGCCTGATCTCTCAGGATGGCAGTGCCTTCCACAATGATAGGGAAGACAGGAGGCGGAGATAATTTAGGGGGAAAGATAATGAACTATTTTGGACTATTTAAGATGTCTACAGGACAACCAGTTGGAGATGCCTGAGAGGCAGTTAGACATGCAAGACTGGAGGTCAGCAGTGAGGCTGGGGCAGGAAAGGGAATCATTAGCACAGAGATGGTCATTTAATCCATGGGAGCTAATGAGATCATCCAGTGAGATAATAGAGAGGGAGAAGAGGACTCAGCACGGAAACCTGAGGGACACCTATGATTAGAGAGCATGATCTCCCCTAAGTTCTTTCCTGCGAAGCTGTGGGGAAAATATTTTGTGTTTATTATACTATCTTAGAAAATGCCCTTTCCAAAAAGCTGATTGAGCTTCCTGGCTGATCATCAATAGGGAGTGGAGCGTGCCAGATTGGGGCTCCTGAGTGACAATACTAGAAACCCCAGCCTTGCACCAAAAACTCTGAGGATAAATTGTGAGCTGCTCTCTAGCTGTGTGTGTGAGTGGAGACAGTGAGCCTTTGTGGGGGGCATCGATGCTATACTTTGAATACTGTCTCCTCTGCCTTTCGGAACTTAAAATGTTCTTCAAGGCGCAGCTCAGGTATCGATTTTCCTTAGTTCCCTAGATCTGTCTCCCTTCTCAAACTACCATGAATTTCCTTAACTGTGCACATGTTGTTTTCTCTCAGAAGGATCTAAGCTCACTCAAGGCAGGAACTGTTTTTATTCCACCCCCCCCCATAGACATTGACCTTCTGGGAGGGGTGATGGAGTGAATGGGGAGATGGTGGGACAGATCTCAGCTGATCGGCCTTTGGCCTCCAACCTCTAATGCAGGAAGCTTCCCTTTTGCCACAGGCTGGGGGGACTTTGTCCCTAGACCTAGGGTTCTGTACTTTCACTATTTGATTTCTAAAGCCTAATCTGAGGCAGGTGGCTGCCTCAGTCTTCTGGAGCTGAACCTCATGGGCCAGCCCCTGGCCTGAGAAATGTGTTGTGCTATGCCCCACCCTTCTCCTCCTGCAGCAGGGATGGGACAGTGAATTTTCCTTCTAGCCCACTGAGGGCTCAGGACTGGGAGATGGGACATAAGGACTCCAGGAATCCTTGGGGGAGAGAGAACCCAGGGCTTTTTTATGTGGGGGGAGGACTGCCAGAAAACTTAGAGGAGCGAGGGCTTGGGACATCCTTGGGAGATGGGGCGTGGAGCATTCACAGGCCTGGGGCATCCTTATAGGGCTGGGGGAGCCTCCAGATAGTCTTTAGGAAGCTAGACAGGCAGGGCGTGGCAAGGCTGGGCAGAAAGCAAGAATGGGTTCAAGGAGGGGCCCTGCCCTGCTCATCCCTCCCCCCTGCACAGGCAGTGGCTTGCCCGGCACACTTGTCTCCTTGTGGCTGCAAGTGAGCTCCAGGCTGTGGGTCCTAAGTCTAGTCTATCGGTCCTCCGTGCCCTGGACACATAGATTCTTAGTTATGGCTCTGCTTGAACATGATGGCTCCAAATGTGGGCAGAGGAACTGTGGATGGATGGCTAGAGGAGCCACAGATGGCTGGCCAGAGGAGCCACAGATGGCTGGCCAGAGGAGCCGTGCATGGCCAGAGGAACAAGCCCAGGTCCTGTGCCCTTACATCCTCCTTGCATGGTGTGTTAGTTTTATGTGTTTGTGTCCATTTCCGGTCCCATGTAGTGGAGAGCCTGAGGGGGCCACTCTAACTGCAGAAGCAGGTGATGAGGCTGGGAGTAGACCTGGGGGTTGCTGACCTATGACACCAGTTGTACTTTCTCCCTCAGGAAGGCTTGCCTGACTAACAGGGGTCAGAAAGCATAGGACTTCTGCTCTCACCAAAGCTGTTGCCTGAGTCCCTGGACAGGGGATGGAGATGGACTTAGCTGGAGATGGCCATTATGAGGGGAAGGTGGAGCTTCCCACTTTGTGCACTGTTCCTCTTGTAACTGGCAATCTTTGTTAACTCTACCCATTTTTATTATGGGCTCTCTGAGAATTCCTGAGGCATGGGGGAAAGGGGACTGTGAGACCAGGGGAAGAGCAGGCTCATTGCCAGGAGCGTCTGGGGATTGAAGATGCTTAAGAACACAGTGTATCTAAATGGAGCTGTGGGAGTGAGGTGAAGGGCGAACTGAAGGAATTAGAGGCAATTAGGTGGCATAGTGACACAGTCCTGGGAAGACCTGAGGCTAACTCCAGCAGCAGACATTTACTAGCTGTGTGACCCTGGGCAAATCATTTTACCTCTGTGCCTCTGTTTCCTCATCTGTGAAATGGGGGTAATAATAGTACCTCTCTCTCAGGGTGGTTGTAAGGATCAAATGAGATGATATTTGTGACGCACTGTGGCACAGTGCCTGGCACACAGTAAGCACCACCTAAGTGTTGGCTAGGATTATTACTAGATATTGTGCTAGAGACTATTCTCCTCCCCAGCTCCACAAGCTCTGGGCCTCACTGCCTAAACTGGGGCCAGACTTCACACCCTTGACACGGTTCCAGCTCTCTCCTGACTACCTGTGCCCCTGCCTAAAATCAGAGGCAGCAAAAGGATGGGGCACCGGCAGGGCCCAGCTCTGGCTCCTGGCTGGGACATAGATGCTAACTTATTAGGACTTTTGGAGTCCCTCCTGGCTTTGAGCCTCAGTCTTCCTGTCTGTAAACTGGGGAGGAGGATCCTTCTCTACCCAACCCTTGGGTCTGGAACAAGTCTCACTGTGCTTTTCTAGTCTTACACACACACACACACACACACACACACACACATGCATGCAGGGCACACACGTACATACACATATGCACATGCACGCACACACACACACACCTGCCCATGCACATACTCTTTAATCCAATGGCCTCCAAGCTGTCCCACAAACACTGCCATTCTCTCTGGCTATTCCCCCAGGCCTGGAATGCTGTCCCTCCCTCCTGTCTGCCTCCTGCCTCCCCCTTACCCCTCTGCTTCCTCTCAGTCCCATCTAAAACCTCACCTCCTACAGGAAGCCTTCCCCAACCACTCTTGATTCTGTTACTATCCAGTCCTAGCTACTTTGCTGGTCTCTCCCATTAGATTGAGAGTTCCTTGAGGGCAGGGACTGTCTTTGGCCTTTCTTTGAATGCCTAGTGCTTAACACCATGTTAAGCACATAGTAGGTGCTTAATGGGGTGGGAGCTAGTGGATAGAACTCCCAGCCTGGAGTCAGAAAGACCTGAGTTCAAATCTGGCCTCAGACTCTTGCTAGCTGTGCGACCCTGGGCAAGTCACTTCACCCTGTTTGCCTCAGTTTTCTCATCTGTAAAATGAGCTGGAGAAGGAAATGGCAAACCCTCTCCATTGTCTGTGCCAAGAAATGACTTAACAACAAAGAGTGGTATTTAATCAATGTTGATGGCTGAGTAGATAGACGGAAAGTCTCCTCCCCCAGGTTGGGGTATGGGCTTGTATATATATGACAAATCTGCAGCCTCCCAGGCATGGCCTGCCTGCTTTGACCCAGATCACTGTCCCTGATCTCTGAGAGTGGCAGCCCCCTGAGGGGAAGCCTCCCAGATTTAGCCCAGGCTGGTCTTCACCAAGTCATTCTGGAAGCTTGGACTTCATTGGCCCATTTCTGATAGCCCAAGGTCCCGAGGACACGCAGGGATGGGTCATCATCACCCTCCTTTCTTATCCTTCTCTAAAAATCCAGCGCGGGCAATGGTCCCGTGGCTCCTGAGCTGGGGGGACAGGCAGCCGCAGGGAAGCTCCGTGACCTCTGGTGGCCACTGCTGGCTTCTCGCTGCCCAGTGGGCCGGGCGACTCTGATGTGGATGAACTGGCCAGCTGGGCATGGCTAGGGTCTAGCCCGGGCTCAGTAGCCAGCTGCCTCCCCTTGCTTCCTGTCATCTGATTCGGCGTAGATGCAGCCCAGCTTGTCTCTGGCCACAGCTTGGACCACGTTCAGCCAGAAGTGTTTTTTTTTATATTCATGTCCACAGTTAATGAGCTCATTCTGGACCTCCTGCAGCAGGAGGCAGTGGGCAGGAAAGACCTGGCCTGAGGGCTGCTAGATACCCTCCTCCCTCCCATGTCCATGAGCAGGTCCCCTTCTCCACCCTGGCAGCTACCTGGGGACGAGGGTAGTCCGGGGGGCACTCCAGGACACTTGGGGGGTGGCACCCCAGGGAAGCCAAGGCCCAGCGAGGGGCTCAGTGGGGGGGGCAGGGCTGGGGTCCTGGAGACTCACCTTGTCGAAGCCTTGCTCAAACTGAACCTTGGTTGTGGGACTCACGTGGAGAATTTTGGCCTTGATGGCTTCATGAAGGTCCAGACCAAACCACAGATTGTTCATGATGGCCTGGGGACAGGAGGGAGTGGCTGCCGTGATGGAGGCTGTGGACACTGGCCAAGAGACCAGGTGCAGGGCCACAGCTGCTGGGCACAGGTACCACACACTGGGCAAGGCAGGCCTGTGCTGCCAGTGGTCTAGCTGGAGAGGCCCTTGGGCCCACTCAGGCGGGCCACAGCAGCGCCAGGACCCAAACCCAGCTAACCCGTCCCAGCATTGGACACCAGACCCTCATCAGTGGGCACCAGGAATCTGGGCTAAGGAGAGCTGCGTGCCTTGGGCAGGTGAGGCAAGGGGTAGGGCTGGGGTTGAGCAGACACATGGGGAGGAACCGGGGCCCCTCTAACTCCAGCATGTGGCCTGCCACCTCTAGGCTGCCTGGGGATAGGCATGGGCATGGCGTGGGGCTCAGTGCCCAGGCTGTCAGGGAGGACAGAGGAGATAAGCGTGGCTGACTCACTCACCAAGGCTGTGGCTGGAAGGATTAATTGCCCTCCAGAGCCCCCAATCACCAGCTTGGACTTCTGATCTTTGGAGATCAAGATGGATGGCACCATGGAAGAGGGGGGCCTTTCCCCTGGAACTGACAGAGAGATTCTATCTCACTGACCAGCAAGCCCTCCTTGGCCTCTCAGAATCCCCCTTTCCCCAGGAAGAGAAGACCAGAGGGGTTTCTCAGGAGCTTCCTTCCCTAAGGGGGAATGCCAGCAGACCGGCTCTGATGGCCCAAGGTATCAAAATCTGTCCTCTGCAGTCTCCACAGGGGGGGAGGGGAGCCCTGCAATCAAAGACAAAGCCGTCCTGCTGACTTGGGTCCAAAGCACTGTGAATCGTGGGCAGCTGGGGTGTCTGCCTTCGGCTGAGAGCTCACCCCTCTGCTGCAGATGCTGCTGCTGCTAACTGGGACCCTGCTGAAGAAACTGGGTCTTTCATCCAAAGTGGGTGTGGGGAGAACATGACTGGCTCCATTTGGGGCACCCTGTGCCGGCATTTGATTTCTTTCTACCTCCCTTCCCTCAGTGGAAGGACTCTGCATAGTGCCAGGGACTCATCCACTTCTCTTCATTTTGTCTGGTGCTTAGTAGGAGCTCAGGGAGAGAAGATTCTGCTTGAGCTGCTTATGAGACAGACGGAAAGACACGGGCGATGGAGCGTCTTGGGTGAGAAAAAGAGCCAAGGAGAGCTTGGCAGGATTGCAGAATGCAGGACAGGGAGGGACCTCCTCCTGCCTTCGGGTCCTCGGGGCAATCCCGAGGGCTGGAGGTGTTCTGCTGCTCCGGCTGGCAGGCTCCCAGCAGGGGGCCTCCCTCTTGGCGATCAGCTGCTATCCAGGAGCTAGCCGGATTTAATTAGCTTTTAGAGACAGGTCTTCCACACGTCCAAGAACATCTCAAAGTTCGGGATGCACTCTCCGACAAGTACAGACAGAGTCCAGGGAGCTCAGAAGGCAAAGGAGGTAAAGCGCACAGCTCCTGGTTGGAGAGAAAGCCTTTTCTGCCAGCCCGGGGTCATCCCAGAGTTCTTCACTATGGGATAGCTTCCTGCTGGCTCTTTGGAGTGACAATGGCCATCTTGTCCTTGACTCCTGGTGTAGACTGTCTTGGCTGTTCCCAGAGTGCTGCCAGGACCCCATGAGATGTCCAAAATCTTCTGACCTTTTCGTGGTCATCCTCTGGCCAAAGAAGAGGGGAGGGTGAGGAGACAGACCCTGCCGGGGCTTTGCCAGGGGAGGCAAGGGCTGAAGCGGGTCTCTGCCACACCAGTGCCTGGTCTTCCAGCCAGCTTGCTCTTGAACCCCAGCCCCACAAGATGGGACTGAGTCTCTAAGGGATGCCCATATACTTCCTGTGTGTAACACTTTTCCTCCTTCCAAATGGCTTGAGGATTTGTTATGCCTCTGATTGATTGAGTCAGAAAGGATATTGTCACCTCATAAAGTAGGATGGGGGCCCAATTATTCACTAACTCTTCAGCTTTACACTTTCTCCTCCTACCTCATCCATGACATTGACTATTTGCTGTCCTCAGCAAATCTGCTGGAGTGAGCTTGGCGGCAGCCCCAGATCCAGAGAGCTCCTTAGTGATCCAGGCAAATTTAGGGCTTTTGGACTGTCTTCCTTAGCGTTTTGTTCCAAAGAGTTTCAGGAAAAGTCTATAGGGCACATTTGGTAATTAACATTCTTCCACATTCTTCCCAGTCCATGGCAATACAACTTAACAAATGATAATTTTGCAAAATTCTGATCAGTTAGTGCTGGTCTTGGGGGTTGCAAACAGTCTTCTCTGACCCTGAATACAATATGGAAAAGAAAAAAAAGGAAAAGAAAATCACATCTCCTTTCTCAGAAGAAAATCCTGGCCCCTTGGAGCGTCTCCACCATATGGAGCTCTCTCCACAGGGATGGGCAACGTAGCATCTCCTGGAAATTACCCTGTTATCCTTCAGAGGAGAAGATAAACTGTCCTGAGGGAAAATTCTTCCATAATTCTCTCAGGGAATGAAACCACAGAATAGCTTTTGGGGGCCTCAGAGTCCAGACCAAATTTCTAGTTATCCCTTTCTATTGTCATTCAATTGTTTTTCAGTGTGTCCGACTCTGTGACCCCATTTGGGGTTTTCTTGGCACAGATACTGGAGTGGTTTGCCATTTCCTTCTTCAGCTCATTTTGCAGGTGAAGAAACTGAGGCAAACAGGGTGAAGTGACTTGCTCAGGGTCACACAGCTAGTGTCTGAGGACAGATTTGAACTCAGGAAGATGAGTCTTCTTCATTCCAAGCCCAGTGCTCTGTGCACTGCTGCGCCACCTGCCGGTCCTACACTGGGCATGTCCCTGTGCCATTTCAACATTCAAGCACATTTCCTCTGGGTCCTTGTACCAAAGGTCAGAAGACTTTGGCCCCCTCGTGCGTGTCCTGGCAGTGTCCTAGGAATAGCGATGACTGTCAGCAGAGTCTACACCGGGAGCCAAGGACACCTCCGATTCTTCCCAGAAGATCCTGAATGGAGTTCCTAACTCACCCCTCAAAAGGACAAACATACTCAGAAAAGTCCTCCAAGAGGTGTGGGGCTCCCCAAAAGGGTTAAGTACTTAGGGTGGGCTCCTGAGCCAGCAGGCAAACCTTATTCTACAGACTGGTAGACCATGAGGAGCGCAAGAAAGCTGCTTCAATGCATGGGACAATTGGGCAAGCCTCCCAGGTCTGCTTAAGAGTGTGAAGACAAAACCTGAACATTTGGAAGTTATCTCTGGGCAAACTGCTCCATTTTCATAGGTAGGGGTGCTCTGAGCCTCCCCCCGGGGATGGCCCAGAACAAATATTGCATAAGCATTCAAGGAGGCAAAAGTCTGACTTGCACTCGCGCCGAGCCACAGGGGAAAACTCGGTGCTGTTGAGTTACAGTTTAAAGGAAAAATTGAGGGGCCGTATTCTCTCTCTCTTGGACCCTGGAATCTAGGCTATCCATTAACTAGAAGCCCAGGGGGAGAATCTCCCTCGTGGACCTTAGCAAGCGTAACACGATGAGGACCTCTCCCCTTTGCAGCACAGGGTCTGGGGCTGCCATCCCCACCCCCCCCCTTCCATGGGCAGGCTGAGTCCAAAACAGCAGCAAAGCAGTGGGCAGCAACGGCATGTGCCAAGACCACTAGCACAGGCATGGCTGGCGATGGGGCAGCTCCTCTCTCCTGGTAAGAGGGGAGTCCTTCCTCGTGGCTTGGGGACGTAAATGGGATGCCCGTAGCAAGTCCAAAGTCTTCTGCCATTGGGAGGTTATCAAGGTTGGGGAAGAGATGGAATCTCTTTTCTCCACATCTCCCCAGAAGGGATTCCTTCTCTTCAGGCTGGCTGGACAGATGTCTCCTCCAGGATGGCTTGACCCCCAAATACTCTAAGCCCAGCTTCGGAAGTGGCTTGCTGTTTTATCCAAGACCCACAGGGCCCGACTGAGGCTCCCTGATACACTTCCTGTACGGTCATTTCACTTCAACCTGTGGCTTCACAGGCACCTAGTTTCATGCCTGACCTTGCTTGATAAAGGTGTTCTCACTTGGTAAAGGTAGCTCCTTTTAGGGGAGTAGGTTGGGCGACTGAGTTGACGCCCTTCCGTTTACTTAAATATGCGTCTCATTGAGGGTCTGGCATTTAAGACACAAGAGCAATTAGCACAAATGTAAAAGACCGAGGCCCATTCCCCAGTGACTAAATGGTAGAAGGATAGGAATGAGCCAGTTTCAAGAGAAGAACTGCGAATTGCTAGCCACGAGAAGAGAGATTATCCCAAATCACTAAGAATAAGAAAAGTAACTCTGACTGGCCCTGAGGTTTCGCCTCCCGTCCAGCCAGTGGGCAAAGGTGACACCAGATGGCCAGAGGCAATGTTGGAGGGGGTGTGGAAAGACTGGCCCGCCACTACGGGGCTGGCAGAGCTGGGGATCGGTCAGTCCGTTCTAGAAGGCAAAAATCAGCTGAAGACCCTCAGTCTGACCCTGAGAGGCCGCGGCTCGATGTGTGCCCCAAGGAACGTGCTCATTCCTCGAGAGCTGAGAGAGCCAGGCGTAAAACACTTGTGGGCAGGTGAGCTCCTTTGGCTCACCCAGGCTCCTCGGGGTCCGGGAAGGGTTCTAGCCGCCTGCCTGCGCACACAGTAGGCGTTTCATAAATGCTTGCTCTTACCTGGACCCAGCAGCGGGCTGGAGCCTGGAGCTGTCCTCCAGCACAGGTCTAGTAGCTGGTTGTTGAGAATGAGGCCAGTCTTTGGGGAATACACCATGGAACCGAACCTGGGGAGACAGAAGCAGGCTCCCTCTCCTTGCCCTCCTGGGGGCTTCTTTATCCCCTTGGAGCAGCTGGCCTCAGTCTGTCTGACCTTGGGCTCACCCCTCTATGCCCACTTCTGTGTTTAGCCAGGCCAGGGACTCCTGCCCAGAGTCCTTTTTTTTTTTTTTGGTTAGGCAATGGGGTTAAGTGACATGCTCAGGGTCACACAGCTAGTAAGTGTTATGCGTCTGAGGTTGGATTTGAACTCAGGTCCTCCTGAATCCAGGGCCAGTGCTCTATCCACTGTGCCACCTAGCTGCCCCCAGCCCAGAGTCCTTGACGTGGGTCCTGGCTGGGGGCCACCTCCTTCATTCAGCCTCCTTGGATGGATCTCACTCTAGCCACTGGGGCTCCCTCCCTCCTGGAATCTTGCCTTGTTCCTCCTCTGCGCCAGCATGGCTTCAGTCCTAGGTGACTGTCTACCTGGAGAGCTGGCATAATCTTTCCCCAAGGCCAGCTCAGGTGCCCGCCCCGGCTCACTCCCCTGACTTTCTGGGCCCCTCTGCCATGCTCTTATCTCACTCGCCCTCCCATCGGGCTTGTCGGTCCTCTTGCTTGACCACCTTCAGCTTGTACTTGTCCCGGGGGCCTCCCACAGCCTTGCCTTGGCCCAGGACCCTTCCTTCCCCTCAGCTCTCCACCTGTACTCCTCTGGATCAGAGTGGGAACTCCCTGAGGGCAGGACCTCTACTTCCATCTCCTAACCATGGGTCCTCCTGGTTGCACAGCATCTCTCCCATCCCACCTGGGCTGCTGTTTGTTGAGTCCCACAATGTCACATGGGAGGGAGCCTAGAGTTCATCTCATCCCAGTGCCCTCCTGTTACGGATGAGGGAACAGAGACTCGGAGAGGCTGAGAGCTGGGCCCCAGGCCATTGGGCAGCGAGTGCAGAGGCTGGGTTCCAGCCTGGTCCTCGGACCCCAAAGCCGCTATCCTTTCCATTGGCCCGTGAACCTGTGGCAGGCTACAGGGAGACCAGAGTCCTGGTCTCAAGTTTGGATTCCCCGGAATCCTCCCAGCCCTCCTTGAACTGCCCCCTTCAGGGAGGGCCCCAGACTTTCTGAAAGGAGGAAACTTAGTCTTGCTAAACGTGGGCATCTGCTGCCTTAATCCTCATGGGGGGCATCTTTGTCTGCCTTGAATCAGCTTAATGGGGCAGCAGGAAGGGGAGAGAATTCTGGGGGCTGGCTGAGAGAGCCTTTCCTCAGGGGTGCTGGTACCCGAGATCTACTCTGTCTGTCCTTTGTCTCGCGACCATGTCAGTGAGTGGTGTTGGGCAGGGGACCCCTTCGCAAAGCAGGAATGCTTCTCTTTGGAGGGCCCTGGCCGCGAGGCAGAGTCGGGCCTCGGTCCTTCCCTCTCTACTGCCACCTTTCCCAGGAATCTTCCAGGGCCCCTGTTCTTCTGTCCACGATTGCAGCCCAGCGGGTAGCCATAACAAGTGGGCGTTTCACTGCTCAGCGTCTCGGGGACCGTCCCTCTTCCATCATGCATGAGCGACTCCTGCTGTCCTCTGCTTCTTCCGGCTCTCCCGCTGGCCACACACTCCACTGACCATCCTGACCCAGCAGCTGATGTTACCAGCTGCACATGAGCTGCACCTTCATCTTGAGTTGCTGTGGCTCCCACCTACCTCCACACACTGCACATGCAGGCCTGACCGGCCTCCCAGCTGTTTCCAGGGGCCTCCTTGGGCAGTGCCCACCCTCCTCATGTCCGTCTGCCTTGGGCATCCCTTCCAGGCTGCCACCTCCTATGGGAAGCCTGCCCTGATCTGAGGGAAGCTGGATTTCTCTCCTGCAGATTTCCAGGAGCCCATATTACTAAATACCTTCTTGTGTGGACACACATCCAGCCCACCTGGACAATGGAAGGTCCTTGAGACGGGAACTCTGTCCTGAGTCACTGCACAGTTAGAAGCACAGTTGTTTCTCCATCCACGCAAAGGAAGAGCACACAACCCATCCCCCAGCCAGTTCTGGTGGATTGTGGCTCAAACCCTCTTTGTCCTTGGGGAGATCTCTGACCTTAAGACAGGACGGTGCTCATAGGCCAGACAAGGGCTCCCAGGGGCCTTGGTTCTCAGCCATTCCAGCTTTGTAGGGCTGTGGCAGCAAAGCCTTCGAGAAGAGCCCATGGCTCATAGGGTGGGAGGAGGAGTGTGTGTGGGAGTCCTTGCACAGGAAGGTGATTTGCAATGACCAGTGTGGTGCCACCCCACGAGCTGTCACATACCTGCGTCCAGCCTTTGCTCCTTCCCCCGTGTTTCAGAGAATGGGAAGCCCTCCTTCTGCCTGGCCAAGGCTAACCCCTTCCTCATCCCTGCAAGCCCTGCCCTCCCCCTCCTGCCGCGAGGAGGTTGCCCCTTCCTAGCCAGGCCTTTTGTACTCACGGGGTGTTGATGGTGCTGGTGGCAGACACAGCACTGCCATCCGGGCCTAGGATGGCTACATGGGAGGTACCAGTGTCCTGCCCCGCCATGCTAGGAAAGCTGATGTTGTAGTAGCTGGGGGTGTGGTTGCCCTGGGGGCTGATCAAGTCACGGACCTTCTGGGCCAACTCCTCAGTTAGCAGGTCTAGGTACACGTCCTGCACAGGGCCAGAGGGGCAGCTGAGGCGCTGGGAGCCTTGTCTCAGGCCCCCCCAGAGGGGATCAGAGCGCCCCACACACATACTTTACAGACCAGAAGACTAAGGCAGCCCAGGGAGGGGCAAGCCCATGCCCAAAGTCACACTGGGAGGAAGCCTCACGTAACAAAGGAACATTCCCGCTGGTCTGAGTAAGTGGGAGAGTGGGCTTCAGCCAGGCTCACCAAGTTAGGGACCTTTATGGGGTCAACCCATTCTTTGACAGCAAAGGCTCAAACCCAGGTCCACTGAGTACAGCCCCAGGGCTCCCTCCCCCTCTGGAGCACTCTGTGAGAATGACCATAGCGACAGGTGTGTGTTCTGGGTTCAAATCCCGCATGGCCCAGGCTCAGGACCACAGACACTCCCACAGGGGTGGCCAGTGATAGACAGCCCCCCAGCTGGAGACATTCTGGAGCCCTGGCCTCCAGCAGGGCCATGGTCCTGGGACCCGAGGGCACAGAGGAGACCTTGACAGTCCCAGCCTCTTCAGAGACACTGTCCTCTCTTTCCTCTTCTCAGGAAGAGGTCACAGGGAACCGGCTTGGAGCTTCAGGGCTCCATTCTCAGTGTGACCTCGGGCAAGTCCCTGTGCATCCTGAGCCTCAACTTCCCCCTCTGTAAAATCGGGTTTGGTGCTGCAGGTAGGGCTCCAGGACCACCCTCCTGGCCCCTGCTCCATCTCCTCACCGGGCACCCTGGGCAGCTCCGAGGATCCCTCAGCTTCCACTTCAGCCCATTGGCAAACTTCAGGGTCTCCACCACCCGGTGGTAAGTGCTGACCTTCCCCTGGAGCTGGGCCAGGGAGTCCTGGGGGAAGTGGAAGCCTGCAGGAGGAGGGAGAGGATGGCGCTGGTGCCCCCGGGCTGCCAGGATGGGCCAGGCTGGGCCACGGGAGTTCCTGGGATTGCCAGCCTCCTCCCAGCGCTGGGACCATGCACCAGCTTCCACCGCCACCTTGTGGCCATTCGGGGAACTGTGCCCATCCCGGGTGAGCTGCCTGGTCAGCCCTGACATCTGCTCCTGCCCCTCGCCCTCCACTCCCTAAGGTCCTCCTGTGAGCAGGGGCGCAGGGGAGGGAGGCCCTTAGGAGACAGAAGAGGGTGCCCTGAAAATGCCAAGTGGAGAGTCACCAAGGTCCAGGTCTTGCTGCATGAGTGGGACATTGGATGAATGACTTCAGCTGGAAAATGGAGATCTCAGTCCTGTCCCTACCTCCCTCACAAGGCCGGCGCTGGGTAACAACCCTCCAAGAGCTTTGGAAATGAGAGTTATTTTTATGGGTTCAAGCCTCATTTAGGCATGCATCCTTCAGTCAGAGCCTCGCTGATACACCTCAGGGACCATCTAGATCCGCTCATCCTGAATTAGGAATCTAGCCCCCTACAACAAGCCTCTTGAATACCTCCAGTGACAGGGTGCTCACTACCTTTCCTTATCTCCTCTGACACTGCCCTCACCCTGGTGCAGACCCTCATTTCCTCATGCCTGGACTATTGCAATAGCTGCTGGGGAGTGTGGGGGGGTGTCTGCCTGCCTCAGTCTCTCCCCCTTCACCCACAAAAGTGATTTCCCTAAAGCCCAGGTCTCACCATGTCACTGCCCCAACTCAATAACTCCAGTGCCTCCCTATCACCTCCAGGATCAAATACAAAATGCTTAGTTTGGCATTCAGGGTCCTCCATATCCACCCCCTCCTCCCTTTCCAATCTTCTAACACCTTCCTCCTCTCCAGTGCCTGAGATGACTGCATCCCACTGCTGTCTCTCTCCGCCTGTGCCGTGTGGTGGACCGCTCCCACCGCTGATTGCCCTGGCTTCCTGTAAGTCCCAGCTACAATCCCACCACCTCCAGGAAGCCTCCCCAGCCCCTCCAAACCCCAGGGCCTTCCCTGTGTTCACTAATTCCTTTATCCTGCATGGAGCTTGCTTGTATAGATTGTGAGCAGGGCCCTTCTGGCCTTTTTGTGTGCTTAGCATTGTGCCTGGCACACAGTAGGAGGTTAATAAATGCTTGTTGACTCATTCCTCCAGGTCTCTCTGCCTTCCTCATTAAGGCTCTAACCCACTGCAGATCCTGACAAACCTTTCCCTAGGACTTCACCTCGAGCTTCACTGAGATAATGGAGGTGGATGGGAGAAGGCAGCGAGCGCTTACTGAGCACCTACTACATGCCAGGCTTTAAGCCCTTTCCACATACATCTCCTTTGGTCCTCAGGACAACTCTGTGAGGGAGGCACTGTTATTATCATCCCCGTTTAGCAGATGAGGAAACTGAGGGTCTTTTCCAGGGTCACACCGTTAGTGTCTGAGGCTGGACTGGAACTCTGTCTTCCTGGCTCCAGGTCCAGCGTGCCCCCTATCTGCTGCACTGCCTGGAGGTCCCTGTTCTCCCTTCTCTGTGTCTCACCACCCCTAGACATCACCCCTCACTCTCTCCTCCTCTCCATGTCTCATATCCCCTCCAGCAGTGGCCTTCATGGCAAAGGGCATCTGGGAGCATCTGGTCTGGCAGCCAAGTGTGAGCCTCCGCTTCAGCCTCCGTGGGAGCAAAAATGGGGGCGGAGGAGGGAGGCGGCCGGGAAGGGGGGAGGGGGAGGAAGCCCGGGGGGGAGTGGAGGCCTGTGAGCCCCGCCTTCCTCCTGTCTCCGCCCCCTCCCCTTTACCGAGCAAAGACTGAGCCAAGGCTGAGCCCCACCTTCCTCCGCCCCCTCCTCTCCCTGCACACCCTTCCGCCGCTCCCCGCTCCCAGCTCAGTCCTCCCAGACTGCCCCGCCCTCAGGGGGCTTACCCTCTCCAGGGCAGGTGGAGCAGCCAGGCAGGTGGACACCTGAGCCTCGCCTTCCCCTGCCCCCCTGCCCTGCTCACCTTTGAGCACATTGAGGACAAAGCCGAGAATGGCTCCTCCAGCGGGGGGTGGGGGCGAGTACAGAGTGTAGTCCCCCAGGCTCAGGGTCAGAGGCTTGACCAACTCGGCCTGGAAGCTGGCCAGATCCTCCTTGGTCAGTACGCTTCCTGAGTGGGGGGGGCGGGCGGGGGGGCAGGAGGCAGAAGGGTCACTTCTAGGGCCCCCATCACCCGTCTCAGCCAGCCCTGGATCTCCTCCGAACCCCCTGAGCCCTCATCTGGGAGTCTCTATACCCAGCCTTCCTCCAACTGACCCTGCCCCCTGCACACCCTCCCCCGAGGAGGACCGCGCCCCGCAAAGCCGCAGCTCCTCTTCCTCTCCCAATGCCGTCGTGGCCGGCCGCTGAGTGACAGCTCAGCCCCCTCTGCAGGCCTGGCACACACGCGCAGTAGGCACTTAAATGCTTGTTGACTGACTGACTGACCGACCTCCTGCCTTCCCAGCATCACTCTCCCTCCCTCTCCACCAGGTGAGGAAAGGCCAGGAATCAGGCGGGAGGGAGCAAGGCCCCCTGGCGGGGCCGCGGGACACCGCCCATCACCTTCCCGAGCGCCTTTCATTCTAGGATCTCAAAGCACACTCTCCCCAAGGGCAGCGTGCAGCTCCAGAGGGAGCACAGATGCTGTCCAGACAGTGGCTTTCTCTGGCTGTCTCTCGTGCTCCCGGGTGCCCTGCCCAGACCGGCTTCGAGCCCCAGCCACGGCCCCACGCCCACGTGCACGCGTCAGCAGTAGGGCTGAGACTGAGGATGGACCCTGGCGCAGGCATGGAAGCAGCCGTGTGTCTGGTGCGGCAGAATTAGCCCCAGATGGGTCAGGAGGCTGGGCTTGGTTGGGGTCGGGCTGCCGGCTCCCGAGACCCTGGCAAAGGACCTAATTTCTCAGAGTCTGTTTCCTCTTCTGTGAAATGGGACTAATTATATTTGCCCTCCTTCTTTCTCTGGATTACTAGAGGAAAACACCCTGCAAACCAAGGTGACCAGGGACTAGGATGCTCCTGGGTGCTTTGAGATCCTAGGATGAAATTTCCTCCATGGGAAGGTCTTGGGAATATAAGTGGGGCCCTCCTGGGGACACGCAGCCGGTGGCAGCAGAGGGAGCCTGGGAAGAGGTGGGGGGCCCTCGGTCCCAGTCATGAGGTCCTGGTTTGGGGGGCACCGAGGAGGCCTTGAGTCAGGGTGCGAGGAGCAAAGCCTACCTTCCTTGGCGAGGTCAGCCAGAAGATCCTCAGCTAGAGAGCCCTTGTAGAACTCATCAGCGCCCTTCTCGGCCACACTGCCCAGGGTGTGTACCAGCTCGGGCCATAGCAGAGTCTCGCCTTCTGCCAAGGGCTTCTCCCCATTGAAGAAGAGCTGGCTAGGAAGGCAGAGGGTAACATCCCCTGGTTGTCAGGGGCACAGAGGGCACTAGAGAAGCCAGGGAGGGAAATGAAGCCCCAAGAGGGCACGTGACCTGCCCAGGGTCACACAGTGACTCACTGGCAAAACCTGGGCTGGAACTCACATCTCGCAACCCCATCAGGGCCAGGTGTCCCAAGGACGGGGGTGATACTTACCAGAACCATTCTGATAGGTTGGCCCCTCCAGCTGGCTGCCTCCTCCTTCTCTTCCTCCTCTTTCCTCTTCCTCTGCCTCCTCCTTCCCCCTCTTCCTCCTTTCCTTCCTCTTCCCTTTCCTCCTCTTTCTAATCCCTTCCATCCCCCTCCCTGCTCCCTCCTCCTCCCTCTTCCTCCTTCTCCTCCTCTTCCCTCCTCCCTCCTCTTTCTCTTTCTCCTCCTCTTCCCTCCTTCCTCCTCCTCTCCTTCCTCTTCCTCTTCCTCCTCCTCCTCCTCCACCCTTCAAAGGTGAGGATATTGCTGACCTGGCCTCCCCATTTTGGTCATTCCCCTCCCTCCACTTCTGAGGCTAGCACCTCCTCTCCTGAGTTTCCTCCTCCCTCTCTGCCCACTCCTTTGCTGTCTCCTAGGTAAGATCTGTATCTTCTCCTCAAGCTGTCAGCATAGGTGCCCCCAGATCTCTTCTGGGGTCCTTTCCCTTGGTTATCTCTCTTATTGCAACCAGTTTGCAGATGATCCCCAGGAGTCGCATCTGCATCCCTGACATCTCTCCTGGGTTCTGGACCTGTTTCCATCTGTCCTGGCTGCCAGCTTCTCGTTCTGTCCTGTCTGTTCCCAGATCTTCTCTAATCTGGCTCTGCAGTCTCCTGTAGCCACTCTCTGGCCCAGAGGAGGTTTTCCCACCTCCTTCCTCTGCCCTCCAATCCAGCTTTTGGCCGATAGCAGGCTCCTTGTTACATACTGATGTATGTATCCCTCCCACCTCATCTTACCTGGCACCCCCCCATCTTGCCTGGCGCCCCCTCGTCTTGCCTGGTGCCCCCCATCTTGCCTTGCACCCCCCCATCTTGCCTGGGGCCCCCTCATCTCTCCTGGCACTCCCTCATCTTGCCAGCCTTATTTCATGTCCTCCCCCCCCCCCGCCCTCTTTGCTTCAGCCAAAGGGGAAATCTCTCTGCCTCTAATCAAGCTTGGCTGTCAGCCTCCTCTGGGAGCTCACTGGAACTGCTCCCTGTACCTGGGCTGTCTTCTCCCCTCTTTGCCTGCATCCTTTGCCTGCCCATTCTCTAAATTCCGGTAAAGATGACGCCTCCATCAGGAAGCCTCCCCTGCCTGCCCAGTGTCCCCTCAGGCCACACCAGTGCTGTTTTCCCCTCTCCAATGTACTCATCTCCTGCTAAGACTCCCAGTGTGTTCCTCTGTCCCTCACCCCCGTGAGACTGTAGGCATGGTGGGGAGGGTCAGGGGCCTCAATTTCTCCACATTTTGGGTCTCCTCCAACTACTAGGACAGTGTCCTGCACACAGGCATCTTGTGAGGCCGCCATCTGCCTCTCCCTGGGTTCAAGCTGATTCTCTGCCCACTGTTAGCTACTGGCTCTCTTGCTGCAGGGACTTGCATGACCCACAATACCCATGCTCCTTGCCCCCAGTTAGCACAGGCAGCTCCCTGTTTTTGCTCCACTGACACCCAAGCTGAGGCACACTGCACTCTCTGCCCCAGAATGTCTCCTAGTGGCCATCCCTGGTGACGCCCACTCGGCAGCTCCCACCTAGAGCTGATCAGTCCCCGGGGTGTCTGGCGGGCATCTAAAGCGAGGGGCAGGTGGGGACAAAGGAGAGACAGAAGTCAGAGCTCTGCCACCATTCATCCTGTGCCCGGGCTTTGCTCACTTGCAGACCCTGGGAGGGGACCGCTGCAGGAGCTCCAGTCTCCATAGGGGTGCGAGTGGGAAGCCTTGAGAGGCCAGAGACGCAAGCCTCAAGCATGAGCATCAGCCTGGGGCCGGTGGGGCTGGTAGCACATTCTGTGGCCCGAGGTTGCTAGAGAGAGACCCTGAGGAAGGAGATGGCTGATCTTGCTGCCCCCAACCCGCCTCTCTGGGGTGCCTCAGTTTCCTCATCTGCAAATGAGGGGCTTGGACCTTCTGTGACCCCCGCCCCATCCCCCGTTCTGCTCACCGAAGAGAGGAGCTATATATGGCATAGGAAAGAGAGCTGTTGAGGAACAAGTTCAGGACCTTGGAGACTCGGAGGCCTTCCTGGAGGAGGCGGATGGTGGGCTTGAACAGCTGGGCCCATGGCAAGCGACCATGGCGCTGGTGTGCTAGCTGGTAACCTCGGAGCTCTCCTGGGACTCCAATCCAATAGGCCCCTGTGTGAAAAACAGCTGAGTGTGGGAGACCGCGGGGGGAGGAGGGGAGAGCCAGCAGGCCCAAATGCCTGCCAATCCAGAAAGGGGGGATTCACAGGATTTTCCATGTCTGAGTGGGATAGGGGAGGCATGGAGGCCAGCCCAGACCTGAAAACCACTCCACAACATACTCAGCAAGGAGCTGTCCAATTGCTGCTTGGACACTGCCAGGGATGGGGAGCTCACTACCTATCAGAGTCAGCCCATTCCACTCTGGGATAGCTCCCATAAGTAGGAGGTTCAGCCTCGTGGTAGTTCCTGGCTCTGCCCACTGGGGCCAACCTTTCTAATGCCTGAAATAGCCACCATGCCCTGCCCCTGCCTACCTCCCCCCCAGTCTCCAGGCCAAACAAGCCTGCTTCCTTCAACCAATGCTCTTCTCATGTGGACTCTGCATGGACCTTCCCATCCTGGTGGCCCTCCTCTGGAGCCATGCCAGCTCAAACATGCTCTTCCTAAGCTGTAGCACCTGGAACTGAGTCCAAGCGTTTCGGTGTGGGCTTACAGGGCAGAGCACAGGGACATTGTCCCCTGCCTAGTCCCGGAAGCTCTGCCCCTTCCCACACAGCCCAAGATGGCATCAGCTTTCATGCTGACTCCTAAGGAGCTTGTGGTCCTCTCAGACCCCCAGCTCTGCTGCCTAACTGGGTCTCCCCCATGCCTTATTGGGATGTTGACTTTTTGTACCCAAATGAAAGTTTGTGATCTGATAGACTCCAGGATCTTTTGGAATCCTCACTGTGTCAGCCACCCCTCCCTGATTTGTTATCTGCAGATCAGGCAACTATGTCCTCCCTGCCTTTGGTGAGCCCCCCAGGGCCAAGCACAGATCTCTGTGGCACTCCACAGGAGACCTTCCGTGCTGCCGGACCTGGCATAGATACTGGCCATTCCTGTCTGGGCAGCCACCTCTCACCCCATTTCTCTCCATCTCCTCCAGAACAGCTGGGAGCCAGAACAGGTGGGGAAGTCACTGAGGACCCAGGAGGACATTCAGAGAACCTTCCCAGAAAGGGAAGTGCCCCATGCAGCTCCAGACTGGGAGCTTGTCCCGTAGGGCCCCACACCTTCACGCTGATCTCAGAGGCCACAGGTGGTCACACAGGCAGGGAGCTGAGGCCAGAGAAGTCGGGAGGCCTGGGTTGGAATTCTACCTTGAACTGTGTAACTGGGCACCTCCTGGACTTAGTTTCCCTATTTGTAAAATGGGATAATCATTGCACCTGACAACTTGAGGCATCACAGATATGGACATTACCATCCTCCTCTTCCTCCTGACAGGCCCCACCCCCATGTTGGGGCCCTGCTGAAGCCCAGGGAAGGGAAGAGGGCCTCTTTGGGTGCCTGACAGACCTCACCTTTCCCCGGCAGCTTATCTGTCTTACAGAACTCCTGCAGAGTCAGGGGGATGGTCTTGGGCACGGTTTCCCGAGCGTTGATCACTTCTACCTCTCCTGGAGAAATACAGACTGTCAGCCTTCCCCTAACCCCCACCCTTTCACCCACTGTGGCCCCCACTGGGGCCAGACAGCCCTAGAGGGACCCTGCCACCCTCCGGGCCAGAGACGCCTTCTCCCCCCAGGGCCGTGACCCCCTCTGCCCCCTGCTGGCCGTGAAGGAATTGAAGGGAGGTGGGATCAGATAAAAAGCCCCCCAACACCCCATGTCGCCATTACCTTTTTTAAATTAATTAATTTATTTTTAGTTTCCAGCATTCTCTTCCACAAGATTTTGAGTTCCACATTTTCTCCCCATCTCTCCCCGCCCCCACCCCAAGACAGTGGGCATTCGCTATTAGCTCTAATGTAATTGGCGTATGGAGCCTCTCTACTGTTGCTGGTGGCACCCCTTCCTCTCAGAGGGCCCTCAGAGGTTCAGTGATTTCAGCCTCATCCTTCCACACTGGCTCTCCAGGTTCTTTGAAAGGGTCTGGGATCCAGGGCAGGCAAGGATCTACCAGTCTCTCCCTTCCCTTATTTTACGGAAGAGGAAACTGATCCCAGAGAAGGAGGAGGGAGGGGCAGCCCAGGGCTCCTTCCATGCCCTTACCCTGTCTACCGAGGGCCAGAATGGCCAACGCAGTGAGGGAGCCTCAGGATCAGGCCAGAGGACTGGGGGCTTGGGCAGGGGAGGACCACAGCCCAGGGCAGGCAGGGGACACACTACCTGTGCTGGCATTATAGATGGTGAAGATGACCCCACCTCCCAGGCCCATGCTCTGAGGATGGATGACCGAGGTGCAGACCAGGGCAGCGATGGCCGCATCCACTGGGGAGCCAGCTTGCTTCAGTATATCCCTGGGGGAGGTCGAGAGAAGCTGTCAGCAGCAGCCGCGGGGACATGGCCTAGGCTAATCACGAGAGGCAAGGCCACGGGCTCTGCTGGACCCATCGCCTCCTCCAGCCTTATTGTTAGCAAGGATTCCCAAGGCCCAATGGGCTTCATTCTCCAGGATGCTCTTGGGGGTGCAGCAAATGGAGCGCTGGGCCTGGAGTCGGGAAAACTCATCTTCGTGAGTTCAAATCTGACTACAGACACGGAATAGCTGTGTGACCCTGGCCAAGTCACTTCACCCTGTCTGCCTCAGTTTCTTAATCTGTAAAATAAGCTGGAGAAGGAAGTGGCCAATCCCTCCAGTGTCTCTGCCAATAAAACCCCAGACGGGGTCAGGAAAAGTCAGACATGGCTGAACAACTCAGCCCTCTTCTATGTGGGAGATACCCTTTGGTGAGTGACGCCTTTGTCGTTGGGAAGTGCCAGGTACCAGGGCCCTGAGCCTGGCTTAGGAGTCCAGCCAAGCAGGAGCAGGTCTGGGAGTCTAGGTCAGGTGAGGAGTGCCCAGAAGAAGTAGTGGTGGTGGCCATCCCGGAGAAGAGAAAGCTCAGGGCTGAGTTCAGGTGTGGTGAGGAGGGGTCACTCCTGTTTGGTTTGGCCAGGAATAACGGGGCTGGGGGCAGGGAGAGAAGGTGGTTATACATTGATACAGAGCTCAAAGTTTTCCAAAGCTCTTAAATGTGTAATCTTGTCAGTCCTCACACCAACTCCGTGCCTCAAGAGCTAGTATTATCCCCATTTTACAGATGAGGACACTGAGGCACAGAGTTGGGGTTGTGCAGGGTCACACAATGCAGAAGTATCTGACGTGGGATTTGAACTTGGGTCTTCCTGTCTTCAAGTCCAGTGCTCTAAGCACCTAGTGTGTGCTAGGCCTTGCCTTCCAGGGGCCAACCTTCTCTGGGTGTGGGAGATCCCACCTGGACAGAGAGAAGATAGTATGTGGCACTTTGAGGAAGGAGTCCTGAAGGGAGATGTAGCCAGAGCTGAGCTTTGGAGACCCAAGCTGCTGGTGGAAGTTAGGCTCCCATGGACTAGCCTCGCTCATCTGGACCTCCACTATCCAGAACAAGGCTGTCCTAAGACGTGTACCATCCAGAATTCTGTCTCCCTCCAGCCTTCTCTATGGAGAGCTCAGCTTGGGCCAGGGAAATAGCCAAGACTTTCCTCAGGACATTCTTGGGCCCTAGCTCACCTCTGCGTAGGGGAACCTGGACTCAAAGTACAAGGGCAGGGTGCTGGCCTCATCCCCTCCCTGCCTCAGGGGAAGGTGAAAGGAGAGGCCAGGGAGCTGATCTGATTTCTGTCTGACCCACAGGAAAGTCCAGGAAGGATGACTTCTCAACACTGAGAGGGCAAAGCTGGAAGGAAACAGCACTGGGGAGCCCAGGCTAGTGTTAGAGGGAGCTCCAAACTGTCTGATCCAACCCCTATTTTACAGATGAGGAAACTGAGGCCAGAGAGGCTAAGGTCCGTTTCAAAGATCTGTGCGACCATGGGTGGGTCATTTAAGCTCTGCGAAAAAGAAGGAGATGGACCAGGTGACCACCGGCATCCCTCCCCAGTCTAGGGAGGTGAGGTGCAAAGGTCCCTCAGAGGCTGCCTCATCCAGCCCTTCCCTAAATCCTCATCTTCACCTTGACAGACCACTTTAAGGTTGGCAGAGCACTTTACAAACATCATCTTCCTGGGAGGGAGCTCTGCTTATTGTCCCCATTTTACGGAAGAGGAGACAGAGGCAGATGAAGATGAAGTGACTCGTCTGGTCCCCAGCTAGTTAGTGTCTGAGAGAGAAATAGAACTCAGGTCTTCCGGACTCCAGGTGCCAAGCTCCACATACTGTGGGGCCCCAGACACTAACTAGCTGTATGACCCTGGGCAGGTCACTTAACCTCTGTTTTCCTCAGTGTCCTCATCTCTAAAATGGGGAAGACAATAGCACGTCCCTCCTGGAGTTATCATGAGGATGACATGAGATAAGCGTGAAATGCTTAGCACGGTGCCTGGCACATGGAGGTGCCATATAAACGTTAGGCATCCTCCTCCACGTCATCAGTGGAAACAACACTAAGACAAGATGGGGCCTCATGCTCTGCTACTGCACCCTCAGGACCATGGGACCTTTCCACGAGACTCTGCTGAAACCTCCCCCGGGGTCACCTTGGAGCGCTGGCTCTTTCTGGACAGAGACAGCCCAGAGCCTGGCACTCAGAAGTACCAAAGAAACGCGTCTTCACTCACTCACTCATTCACTCATTCATTCATCCACTCACTCACTCATTCATTCATTCATTCATTCACTCACATTCATTCATTCATTCACGTGCTCATTCATTCATTCACTCACTCGCTCATACTTTTATCCACTTATTCATTCACTCACTCAACAAATGGGATGGCTGCCTTCTTGAGGGAGTGACTTTGCTGTCAACAGAGACAGGACGGCTGCCTGCCATGGATGGAGGTGCAGTCTGGATGAGATGCTCTGCCTCTGCTTGTCTGGCCCCACCCTCTGACTAGGGCAGTTGGTTCAGGGTGATAGTGATATGATTCAGGAAAGATGGGGCAGGGACATGCTGATGCTGGATGGCACTTAGAGGCTCAGAGCTCCCTTTTCTCCCTGCTGGGGGGTGGGCAGCCACCCAGGTTTCCCTGAGGCTTCCTGCTGGCGCCAGACTGGTGAGCTCCCTGGCTGGGACTGCGCCAACTGCTGGGTGCCGCGGCCTAAGGCTCTGCCTGTGGTGACCACGAGAGGTGCCCGGGGTCGTTGGCTATTGTGAATCCTAGTGGCCTGGGGAACTGGGCAGGAAAGCTGCCTTCTCTGTGCTTCCCTGCCCCCCCCATCCTCTGGCCCGGCCACACATTGTCCCCCACTCCCCCATTTCTTTCCCACAGTCTTGGAGCCTGAGAATCCCCTTGGGAAGGTGAGTGGGAAGAGTTAGCTTTGGGAGAGGCTGGAGGAAGAGAGCTCCACGGGGTGGGGGGGGTGCTGAAGGCTAGAGAGTCTGAGGCTGGCATGTGTGGGGAGGAGAGAGAGGCAGCCATTCAGAGTGAGAAAAGAGCTGACGACTATAGACAGGTATAGACCCCCATTTCATTATGTGGGGAGGCATTCCGCCTTTTCCCCACACCAGACCACGCAGTGTAGGTGAGCAATGCAGGCATTAGGCTGTCCCGGTGGCCCTCTGGAGGGGGCCAAGCACGCATCTCCCAACGTAGTGGCTGAGGAGCCAGCGAGGCCATGGCTGCCGCTGGAGGCTGCCCTGGAGTCCACACCAAGTGGTCCAGGAGCGTTGGATGGGGAGGCTGAGATGATGCTAGCCCAGGACACAAGATGGTGATGGTGATGGGGTGTGTGAGTGTGTGTGTGTGTGTGTGTGTGAGTGTGCGTGCGCATGTGTGTGCATTGAATGTGTGTGAGTGCGCTGTGTGTGTGTGTGTGTGTGTGAGAGAGAAAGAGAGAGAGAGAGAGAGAGAGAGAGAGAGAGGGAGGGAGACAGAGAGAGAGAGAGGGAGACAGAGAGACAGAGACAGAGATGGGAACGGGGTAGGTCATGAGACTCTCCAAGGCCCAACAGTACCGCAAACACTAGCTGAACTGACCGTCAGGGTGCAGGGCATCCCAAAGGTCCCCAGGTTGTGTGAGGGGAGGGAGCTGCCCCCAAGCCTCACCCCCATAGCCCTGGCTTGTGCCCGCCACTGACAGAGGAAACAATGGGGTCACTGAGAGGGGACTAGGTTGAGCTGTCTCCAGGTACTTTACAGTCTCTGGCTGTGGCTGATCCTAAATCAGGGGAGGACTGGAAACCACCTTTGAATGTCCAGGGATACCCCATCTTCACAGGCCTGGGGCCAGCTGGCAGAAAGCCAAGGGAGGGCGAGGGCAGGGCAGGGCAGAGCCAGCAGCCCTGCCCTGGCCAGTCAGTCAGTCAGTCCCAGAGGGCTCCCAGGAGGAGGTGGCATGGGGATGGGAGAGGAGTCTGCCAGGCTGGGAGGCCGCAGATGAGACATGGCTCTAACTTAATAGCAGTTAGTACTCGCACACACTACCTCAAGGTTGCAAGGCACTACAAATACGATGTCAGGCAGCGGGGGCACTAAGCTACCCCCATTTTACAGAAGCAGGGTCATGCAGCCAGAGGCGGGCCTTCCTCCAGACTGGAGAACTGGTGCTGCCTCACAAGACTGATAAGAACGGTTCCTCTTTCCATAGTGGGCATCATCGCCTTGGGGCCTTCCCTAAGCCGGGGGCTGTTCTGCGGCCTTTCTAAGAGCCCACCCCCCATTAAGTGCCTGGTGTGGGAACGAGGAACACAATGCTGCTGCCGCAAGCAACAGACGCCAACCACCACAGCTGCCTCAGGCTAGACACGCAGGATCTCCCCTCCCCTGGAGCTGGTGGCCGGGAGTCCTGGGTCCCAGGTCCAGCCTCCTGGTGTCTGAGGGAGCCGAGGGGGGAAGTTGGAAGCCAGCAGCCCAACTGCCCAGCCCAGCGATTCTGCTCTGCCCCTCCCTGCCCCCCCATGGCCGCAGCCCACCTCCAAGGCCAGGTCTGCTGGTGGGGGTCCCTGGGGATGGAGCTGAGGGGCAGGGCACAGTCTGAGATTTAGGGCACAAGGCCCACCCCCTCATTTCATAGCTGAGAAAACTGAGGCCCTGCCACACAGCCCACACAGCTAGTGGTGGGGCGGGGGAGATCCCGAATTCAAACACACACACACACACACACACACACACACACACGCCCTCAGAGAGCTGGCATAAATTCTTTGTATGTCCTTGTCCAAGCCATTTTCCCACTTGAGCCTCAGTTTACCCAGCTGTAAAATGACATTCTCGCCTCCCAGAACCAGCCTGTCAAAGGGAGCAGAAGGAGACCCCCAGGGCAGCTCCTTTGGGGCTACCTGACACCAACCATCTGGAGAAGTCCTTCCCTGCCAGGCCAGCAGGCAAATATCTCAGCCTCGGCAAACAAGACTCAGAATCAGTGAGGGACTCTTTCTCTTCATCAGCTGTGTGACCTGCCTTATGGAGCAGGGGCTCAGAAAAGAGGGAGCAGGGGGAGGGTTCTGGACAGGTCAGCCCTGGTTTGCCCGAGGCATCTGACCGAGTCTTTCCTGGGTGAGCCGGAAGGGATGGAGAGGTGTGGGGGAGACGCTAGGACAGAGAGGGCTTAGGAGCTGGCCGCAGGTAGGAATCAAGAAACTGTCCTGTCACTGTGGAAGCAGGTGTCTAGGGGAGGGTCCCAGGGATCTGTGCCTGGCCCTGTGCTGTTTAACTCATCAAATGTGCTGGTCCAGGGGGGAGGGGTTAGTAGTATTCAAAAAGATCCTGTCAAGCCAGAGGCTTGGACTGAATCTACAAGAAGATGCTTTGATAGGGATAAATGTAAAACTTTACACATGGGTTCAAAAAGTCACCTTCACAAATATTAGATGAGGGAGATGAAATATGAATAGACAGCAGCTGATCTGAAGAAGATCCTGGGGTCTTTGTGGACTGCAAGTTCAGCCCTGGGTTGGGCAGCAAAAACAACGAATCCATTCTTGGGCTGCACTAGGAGGGGAGAGTTCCCAGAAAGAGGGAGGGGAAGGTGCCTCTGTCCTTTTCCCTCCTCAGGCCTTTTCTGGAGCACTGGGGTCAGTTTTGGGCCCCATGGTTGAGTCCAGAGGAGGTGACTAGGATGGGGAGGGCTTGAATTCATGCCCAATGAGGAGCAATTGGAGAAAATGGGCGTGTTTAGCCTGAAGGAGCGACAGGAGAGCTGTCTTCAGGCAGCCCCAAGTTGGAGGGGCTAGCCTGGTTCTGCCAGGCCCACCCTGAGCACTGTCCCAGGGCAGACCAGGCTGTCTGACCCTGGAGGCCTCCACACTGAGGCGGGGTGTCCTCTCACCAGGCCCGCTCTCGAGGGGCTTGGCGGTCAGGGACAGAGGGGCTGGATGCGGCTGAAGTTCCCTCCTGTTCTTCCGGTCCTCTGCTCTCTGTCGTGGAGGCTGCTGATGTCAGAGCCTGTGCCCGGATTAGAGTGGGCAAAGGAAGCTGGGGACCTGGCCTGAGTCCCCACTGGAAATAGTGACTGAAGCAGCAGCCAGACCCCGGCAGGTGATGGAGAGACAAGCTTATCCTCGTGTCCTCGGCCATTGGGCTTTCCTTGAAAGTCCCTCAGCCGGGCTCCAGCTGGTGACCCAGCGTGCCCCAAGAACAGTGCCTGAGCTCCCCCCAATGCCAGGGAGAGCAGGGCAGGTGGCTGCGTTGGATCCGAGAGGCCTCTCGGGAATGCCAGTGGGTTTTTTTGTTTTTGTTTTTGTTTTTGTTTTTGCTTTTAGGCAATTGGGGTTAAGTGACTTGCCCAGGGTCACATGGCTAGTAAGTGTCAAGTGTTTGGTATGAGGCCAGATTTGAACTCAGGTCCTCTTGACTTCAGGGCCGGTGCTCTATCCACTGCGCCACCTAGCTGCCCCAGTAATGCCAGTGTTTTAGGAGGATGCCTGGCAGCTGGATGGAGGCTTAAGTCAGGGAGGCCAGTTGGGACAGGTCATTGCACTGATCCTGGCTAGAGGTGGCTGTGGGAGCAGAGGGAACCCCCTGTATGTAGGAGAGATGGGAAGCTAGACAGGAAAGGGCTTGGCCATGGGAAGGGTGGGGATGACATCAGGGTCATGAAGCTGGGTGACCGGGGGGGGGGGGTGGGAGTGCCCCTGACAGAGGGAAGAGAGTGGAGTGGGGGAGGGAACTGGCTGAAGCCTTCCTGCTCTCTGCACGCTGTGTTTGATGTGCCCTGGGACACCACGGGCACCTGGCGATGTGTGCCAGGAGCTCAGGGAAGAGGCTGGGGTGGGGCTTCAGCTCTGGGATGTGTGAGCTGCTTGAAATGAAGTGAATGAAACCAAACTCCTGAGACGTTCCATGCTCTGGGCTGTCAGGCCCGGGGTCCCTGGACCCAGAAGCGGCCTCTTGTCAGACAAATGATGTTAGGCCCTTTCCTTTCTGATGAGTCTTTCTCATTCTTTGCCCTGGTCTTGGTGAGGGGGTCCTACAGACCACCACCCACCCGAGTTGCCCACTGGCTGCTGGCAAGTGGGAGTGTCTGTGTTGCCAAGCTAGGCTGAGGAGACCCAAGGTTCCGGCTGGGCAGTGGGCACGGCCATGGGCTTGCTCCTGCCCTTGAATGAGCCCAAGCCCAGATACTAGTCCTGACCGAACCAGACCCCAGCCCTGAGCAAACTTGGACATTGGTCCTGAGAGAGCCCAGACACCTGAGAGTGGACACCAAGCTGAGCAGCCAGTCCTGAATGACCCCAGGACCCAGCCTTCGTCCTCTGGAGTCAGCTCACACTCACCTGCCGATGTCCGAGCAGCGCTTGCTGTCTGCTGCTACAGCCGCGGTGGGGTAGCTTCTCTCTGGGCACGTGCTGCGCAGGGCCAGAGTGCTGGCAAGGACAATGATGGCTACCAGGATTGCCAAGGCTAGCAGTATGACGCAGGCCGTGCGAACCCCAACCTTGGCCATAGCCAGGGCGGACGGACTTCCTGCAAGGATAGAGCTGGGGTGAAAAGCGAGTAGGGAGGATCTGAGGATCTGAGCTCCAGCGGCACTCCCCCCGCCCCGCTTCTCCTCCTCCTCCTCCCTCTCTCCCTCCTCCTCCTCTTCTTCCTCCTCTTCCCTCTCTTCCTCCTCATCCTCCTTCTGTCCCTCCTCCTCCTCCCTCTCTCCTTCCTCCTCATCCTCCTTCTCTCCCTCCTCCTCCCTCTCTCCCTCCTCCTCCTCTTCCTCTTCCTCCTCCCTCTCTCCCTCCTCCTCCTCCCTCTCTTCTTCCTCCTCTTCCTCCTCCTCCTCCCTCTCTCCCTCCTCCTCCTCCCTCTCTTCCTCCTCCTCTTCCTCCTCCTCTCCTCTCTCTCCTCCTTCTCCCTCTCTCTCCCTCCTCTTCCTCCTCTCTTCTCCTCCTCATCTCCCTCCTCCTCCTCTTCCTCCTCCTCCTCCTCCTCCTCCTCTCCCTCTTTTCTTCCTCCTCTTCCTCCTCCTCCCTCTCTCCCTCCTCCCTCTCTTCTTCCTCCTCTTCCTCCTCCCTCTCTCCCTCCTCCTCCTCCCTCTCTCCCTCCTCCTCCTCCTTTTCTTCCTCCTCTTCCTCCCTCTCTCACTCCTCCTCTCCCTCCTCTCCTCCCTCTCTCCCTCCTCCTCCTCCTCCTCCCTCTCTCCCTCCTCCTTTTCCTCTTCCTCCTCCCCCTCCTCCTCTAGCCCCCAGGAGCCAGGCCCCCCGTCTGTGGTACCTGCCTGGGAGGCTGCCTGGGAGCAGCAGCAGTGGCAGCAGCAGTGGCAGCAGCAGCAGCAGCAGCAGCAGCGGTGGCTGGCAGAGGCTGTTTCCCCTTCTGCATCCTGTCTCCAGCTTCCCTAGGGTGCAGCCCCAGCTCTGGGCGGGCAGAGGGAAGGCTTTGGTGGCTGTTCCCCTCCCATACTCTGCTGGCCAGCAGCCACCACCAACCCTGGGCGTTTTAACCACTCCTCCCCCCCGCCCCTGCCTGACCATGAGCTTCCCCCATCCCAACCTTCCACCCAGCTGGGGGCCTTTCCTGGCTGCCCCCTCATGGGCCCCCCGGCTCTGTGTAACTTTGGGCAGGTCAGTCAGTCAGTAAACATTTGTGAAGTGCCTACTGTGTGCCAGGCATGGTGCTAAGCCCTAGGGACACAAAGAGAGGCTCGAGGCAGCCTCTGGCTCAGAGGAGCTCACCATCTGATGGGGGAGATGGTGTGCAAACAGCCCTCCACTGACAAGCTAAAGGCAGGAGGAATGGGGGATCGGTAGCATCAGAAAGGGGGAAGGGCTTTCTGTGGAGGGTAGGAAGCCAGGGAAGCCAGCCCCTCTGTGGGCCGCCTCGGTGTCCCCCTCTGGAATGTCAGTGGTTTGAGAGAATCCAGCTCGGGGTCCCTGCCCATCCTCCCCTTCCCACCCCCATCATCCTGTACCCCCTCCCTGCCACCCCCCCAGAGGGAGGGAGGTCACGCACTAGTTCACTTGGTCTGTATCTGCCCAGCTCCAGCCCTGCCCCGGGCACAAGGGCCAGTGATACAACTGCTGCTGCTGCTGGTGGGTTGGGGCTGCTGGGGACTGTGGGTGCTGAACCGGAAGGGGCCTCAGGGCCCATGCAGTCCAACACCCTGAATTCACAGGGGAGCTGACACAGCCCAAGGTAACCCAGCTGGGAAGGGGCAGGTGCCCTGGCCCTGAGACCAGCACACTGGATTCCCTCCCTGTACTTGGAGACTTGGGAATGGAGGAGGCCCTGAGGAGAAAGAAGGAAGCGCTGGGGAGGGCTGTGGGCCAGCAGGAAGGGTGAGGCCCAGGCTGCCCTACACGCGTTTCCGTTTTTGATACGGTTAACAACCCAGCAGATGCGGGAGCATGGTGGCTCTTGCTTTGGCGAGACCAGAGACAGTTTTGCTAAGGGTTCTCCTACCATTCTTGTGGAGAAGATGGCGGTGGGGCGTAATGCATAGCTCAGCCTGAAGGGCAGGAGTTCATGCTGGTGAGCTGAGTGAGGAGGTCTCCAGCGGAGTGCCCCAGGGATTGGTGCCTGGTCCTGGGCTATTTAACCTCTGTGTCAATGGCTTAGACAAAGGCGGAGGGCAGGCTCCTACAATTTGCCAATGACCCAAGCTGGGAGGGATCGGTGACCCCCTGAGAGACAGGATCAGGATCCTGAAAGATTGAATAAGATGAAATTCATTTGGGAGAAATGTTAAGTCTTGTACTTGGGCACAAGTTGACAAGATGGGGGAGCCTACTTAGAAAGCAGCTTGTCTGAAGAAGAGTGGAGGGGGGTTGTGGGAGTGGACCACAAGCTCTCAGGCCTTGCGCTGCCTGGGGAAGGCAGAACTTTCAGAATCAGGGAGCTGAGAGCCCGTCTCACTGGCCTCTACTGTCCTCAGACCTCCTTTGCAGCTCTAGGGACCACAGTAGAGAAAGATCCTTGGTAAATGGAACATGTGCAGAGGAGGGTGACCAGGCTGGGGAAGAGCCTGGACTGGGATAAGGACCAGGCGAAGGCACAGGGGTGTTCAGCCCAGATTGGAGAAGGTTGGGGAAGACCCAGGGGAGAAACCCAGAAGGATGGCTCTGCTCAAGTCTCTGAGAGCTTGTCACTTGGGGCAGTAATTAGCTTTGTTCCTCTTGGCCCCAAGATACGTGCTCCAAAGGAGGAAGGGAAGTCTGGGCTGCCTTGGGAGGTAATGAGCTCCCCATCCTTGACTGTCTCCAAATAGAGGAGGGGCCCGCACTCCTCAGGGATGCTAAGGTGGCTCTCCTCTGAGGCGTAGGTTGGCCTGAGGCCCCTGCTGGCTCTGAGGCTCTGGGCCTCTGGAGATGCGAGGCAGCAGTCACTGGCCATCAGCCTGAGCCTCTCTGTCCTGAAGTGACCTGGAGGACTTTCCCAGGGTCAGGAGCCTGTATGGCCACCACAGCCCCCCAGGGCCAGGCAATGTGGCGCCGAGCTGCATCACCACACAGCATATTCCCAGAAAGGCGTGATGTGGTCTGTCCTCAGCAAGTCCCTGGACTGCCCTGCCTGTCTGGCCCTCCCTCAGTCTCAGCCAGGCACAGCTCACTGCAAAGGGTGGTGAAACCCTGGCCAGCTCACTGCCCCCACTAGGCTCCATCCAGGTGGTATCTGAGGCCTGCCCTTCCCTGAAACTGCAGCCAGCAGGTGCAGGGCATGGGGTCCTGCTCAGAGTCTGAAGAGAGAGCCGAGGCTGGAAGGGGGAGGGGCAGCAGGAGCCCTTGGAGCCGGAGTCAGACCCACAGGGCCCTCTCCTGGTGCTCCTGGCCTGGAACAGCAAAGTCCTCTTCCTGCCGAATTCATCTGGGCAACAGGGAAAGGGGCGGATTTGGACCAGATCAGCACTAGGGTCTCTGCTCCTGTGCCTATGTGCCCAGCACCCCTGCACTTGGACCTATCATGGACCAGGAACATCACTGCCCCCTCTGTGGATGGGGAGCTCACTACCTCCACTGGGAGACAGCAGGGCCTGTTATTGGTGGGGATGGCGACGCTGCCCTTCCCTTTTCATATCAAGCTGAGAAGCTGCTCAGAGATGGTAGAGGCTATTATGCCCATTGGGAAGGATCTGAGGAAGCGGAGCACCGGCGGTGGCGCTCAAGGAGCTGGGCCGCCTGGCCAGGTACCTGCAGATGGCTTGGGGACCAGGCCTCCATGAGCTCACAGACTCCTGACCCCTGAGAGCCTGGATTCTGGGTCCCAGGAAGTGTCTTGGGGCTGACTGTTAACAGTGCCCCCCAGGGACCCATTGTCCTGCTCTGGGCATCAGACTTCTCCTCTGGGACACGGGCCAGAGGCATTTTTTTCCCTCTGATGGGTATTTGATATTCGTCAAATGAAGGGTGCTGTGCCAGGGATTGAGAACCTGGGCTCCCTGCCCCCCAGTGGTGCCCAGGCAGCTGCCCCCACTCCAACACGCAGTGCCTGAGACCACAAGGAAGCAGGAGAGAGACAGGACAGGCTTCTTAGAGGGCTGGGGGCTAGGGGAGGCAGGGAGTTCCAGGAATTAGAAACAGCCAGAGTCAAAGGCCAGATGCAGAAGGCTCCAGTGCTGGAGGGCTACAGGGTAGACAGCCCAGAAAGGAGGGACCCAAAGGGAGGGAGGGGCCAGGTGGGGCAGGGCCTTGAGTGCTAAGTAGAGGAGTTTGAAGTGGGTCCTAGGGGGAGCCCTCAGAAGGGATCTCTTGGCAACCTCGCCTGCTGGAAAGGGATCCCCTCCTAGGACACACCAGATAGTCTGGTCAGGTCTGACCCATCCTCCCCATGGCCTAGAATTGTCTATAACTCCCTATGGCCTTCTTAATTGTTCATCGCCAGCCTCAGCCTATTCTGAGCATTAAAACTCATGACCTCACAGAACTGCAGCAGAGATAAGGCGATGGGCCGGACCAGAGCCCTGAAGGGTGGATGTAGCCCAGACTTCTCATTCTTCAGGAGAGGAAACAGGCCCAGAGAGTAACCCTGGTAGGCAGAAGGACTCCATCACCCCGAGCCTCCTGGCACCCCTTCCCCTTTTCAGATTCTTTTTGTGTGTCATCTTCCCCAATTAGACTCTGAGCTCGTTGAGGGCTGGGACTGTCTTAGCCTTTCTTTGCACACCCAGCACCGGATCCAGGGCCTGGCATGTAATAGGTGCTTAGCAAATGTTGCCTCTGACTCTGAGCTGGCTGGTAACCCCCCTGGCATCCATTCCAGTCTTTTCTTCCTCAGCAGAATTGTTCTCCTTTTTATTCTGAGGATTTTGTTCCGTGCTGCAGGGTTTCAGGGCCTGGGATGCTCCCTGGACTTCTTGTGAAATCTGTCCAGCTGAAAGGCCTGTCTCTCCCTGGCTTTCCTCCTTGGCTCTGGGACAGAACTGTGATGGATCCTCAAGGCTGCCCCCTCTCATCTCTTTCCAGATCCAGTTCCCTGCCTTGGTCAGAACTGTGCCGCCCACGTGGCCCCTGCTCCTGCTGATGACTGAAGGTGAGGCCAGGCTTCTGAGAGCTCCAGCAGGTGAGTGGACCCAGCTGGCTGGGGACGCATCGACTCTCTCTGGTCTGTAGTGTGTCGCGAAAGGGTGTTTGCTGGAGGACTGGAAAGGGCCCGTACTCCCCCTCATTTTATACAGGAAGAAGGAAAGGCCTGGGGAGGGCAAGGGGCAGATTAACATGGGGCCTCTTACTCTAAACCTTGCGGCTTCCCTCTCCTCTGAGTTTCCATCCTTTGATCTTCACCCAAGCTCTCTGCACTGAGCTTCCTGCCTCTTCCTCCTGTGTTTCCTCACTTCAGAATCTCCTTTCATATACTGGGTTCTTTTCCAGTCCCTTTGCATCTCCCCTGTGGGTTTTTCCAGGAAGGTCCGTCCACCCAGGGCCTTATCCCAGTTATGGGTTAATTCTACCATTTCTTGGGATGCCTCTGGAGGTCAGATTTGCCTTTTCATATCAGGATGTTGAATCTGCTCTGCTTGCCACCCAGACTTTGCAGGTTTGGACTTCTAAGATTCTGCTCCTTGTCACTGGTGGGCTCCTTTCTTGGATTCTCTGTCTCATGAACTCTTGGTCCACCTTTCCTACTTCTGGAGCACCTGCAGGGCCCTGCCCAGGACCACTGGGTCCTCATTTTAAAGTCTCCACACAAATGTCCTTCTACCCCTCCCATCAGGTGGGAGACTGTCACTCCTGTATTTTAATCTGTGGTCTGGAAATCCAGAGGCCATTCTCAAGTACCAAGTTCGCGTGGCTGGCCATTCACTCCATTTCTCTCGTTTTCTATAGGTAGGAGTGAGGAAAACACCTTCTGGACCCAAAAAGCCCTCTTGGTCAACAGTTACTAATGCAGAGATGTTTTCTAGTTCCTTCTGGCAATATCATTGTGTCCACATGACCCACTGGAGTCACCAGGCTGAACAAATCTTCAGTTTCTCTCTGCCAAGTCCCAGATTTATACCCTGGAAAGACAACAGATCCCCTCAGCATCATGGCCTCAGGACTCTTCAGCAGGCAGTCATCAGCTACTGCCAGTCAATCAGTCAATCAACAACCCTTTATTAAGCTAAGCGGTGCAGCTATGTGGAGCGCCAGGCCTGGAGTCAGGAAGACTCATCTTCCTGAGTTCAAATCCAGCCTCAGATACTTACTAGTTGGGTGACCCTGGAGAAGTCACCAAATCCTGTTGGCCTCAGTTTCCTCATCTGTCAAATGAGCTGGAGAAGGAAATGGCCAACCACTCCAGTGTCTTTGCCAAGAAAACCCCAAATGGGGTCGCAGAGAATCAGACGTGACTGAGAATGCTCCATGCTGGGAATACAAACACAGCAGAAAGCCAGTCCTCACCAGGGGTGCGCTCTCCACAACGTGTAGGACACACTTCTAAGTTTAATCTGAATCACAACATTTTCCCCATTTTTGAGCTGGCTCCAGCATACTCCGGGTTCCTGCCCTCAAGAAGCTTACATTCTAATGGGGAGAGACACCACATAAAATCGAGCTGAAGTGGGGGGGGGTGGCAAAAGTACCCAATGTGAAGGCATGGCAGAAGAAGAGTATGCCCTAGAGAGGGAGGAGACATGGCTGGCCTCAGCAGACTCCTGAAGGGGAGGTTCTGGGAGGACCATCCAATTAGAGGAAGGGCTGCCGGAGCCAATGTGTGGGTTCCAGGGCTGGAGGGAGGCTCTAGGGGGAGGGCTTCTGGGGGATGGCAGAGGAAGTCTGGGGTGCAGCCCTGGTTCTTCTTCCTCTGACCCTTCTGTAGATAAAGCACAGGCCGTTCCCATGTGACTTCCCTGCTCAGAAAATTTCAGTGGCTCCTTCTCTCTCTGAAATGTCTAGGAGGCAATTGGTGATGGCAAGTGGAGCTCAGGAGAGAGGTTACGGCTAGACACATAGACATGTAAGTTGTCTACACAGAGATG